GAGTTCAATATACAGTATCTACATTCAGGCTAGAAAGTTGGCAACAGCACTGAGCAACTACAGAAGTCAATGAGAGACACATTTACAACACCTTCTACACTCTACAGCAGACGTAATGCAAAAGGACTGAGCAACTAAAAAAAGTACTACTAGGATTTCAATATACAAAATCTACACTCTACAGAGCAGACTGTGGCTTAGGTGTTGCGAGAATGTTTCTTAAAGTCTGGTTCGAGCCTAGCTGCGGATGGTCTGACTTGTGTAAAATTTGCCTAGAAAAACCACAAAAGCCACACACACACAAAAAATGCTGGGGTTGGTTCTGCAATGTCCTGTAAACTAACTATAGAGCAGGGCTACACAATAAAGTTTACTCAGGGGCCAAAATTCTGAAAATGGGGCTAGTCATGGGCAACAGACCCTAGCTCCAACATAGAATGCTCATTAATGTAATACAACTGGCAATGATCTGAGGGCCACTTGTTAGTCCTCCGCAGGCCAAGTCTGGTCCACGGGCCGCCAGCTGAACAGCCCAGCTATAGAGTGAAAGTGGAGCAACTACATAAAGAGTTTAACACAGATTTACATTACACACCAAAGCAGAAGTGGAGTAACAGCACTGTGGAACTAGAAGAACTGATTAGAACTCAATATTTGACGCCTTCAATCTGCAGATGCCTGGCAATTACATTTCCAAGTCTCCCACCATACATCTCCCGACATGTCTCTCAAAACATTAACCACCAGTCTCCCAAAATACTAATCACCAGTTTCACTAACACACAAACCACTGCAAGTCTCCCAACACACTAACCATAAGTCCCTCAACTCATTAACGCCAGACAACCTTGCCAAGGCACATATACAAAGCTGGACCAATTTCTGTTAATTATATATAGAAATATATATATATATATATATATATATAAAAAGCAGAGGCAGAAAACTGATTTCATTACTGACAAATAAATACCTGAAAGAATTATCTTTCCATGCGCTTCAACATGATCAACTGAGCAGAGACCGAAGTTGAAACGACTTGTTTAAAATCGTGGGGATGTGCTATAGGCAGGCACCTCAGCAGGCTCAATTCTAGACTGCCCTAATATGTACACCATTCTAGCAAAACAAGCACAACATCAAACAGGAATGTAAATGTGTAAATGCTGATTTCATTTGAATTAAAAAAAAAGTGAAACTACAGGCAGCAAGGCATGTTTAGAATAAGTGTTCAGTCACATCATGATACACAGTGTTTGTCATTTTGTCAGCAGCATTCAAATCAATCCACAATCCACTTTTCCAGTGGTTCCCAACTATTTTGACTCATGGAGCTCTTTTAAGAAGCCATTTATTTTACAGAGCACATTAGGCCTATCGTGCCAAGACATTCAGTTGCAGGAAGGGCATTTTACAATATTCCTTTTCGCAGTCTGTCAAAAATTTTGGGAGCTAGTGGCAGCAGATTCAACTTTCTGTTTCTTAATATTTGAATTCATTCATTTATTAAATTCTTCTGCTGCGGCCCTGGAGCCTTTGAGAAGTGCATGCAGAGCCTTTGAGGCGCAGCCAAGCACCACTTGGGAACCGCTGCGTTATATCTGTCACTGTGGTACCCTGACAGAAAATGCATAGTGCTAAGTAAGAACGCTAAGTCAAGGTAAACAACCCGTTGCCATGGTCTTGAGAAACACTTTGCTCCAGGTACTGACCTCATATTTTTTTTAAATATAAGAATTTGAAGACTGGTTTTTGAAAATCCTGCTGGGGTCCCAGAATCACTAGAACATTTAATCAAATCCAATTTTATCATTACACCATTCCTGTGGTATCTAAACAGTAGTACGAGAGTCGCACCATGGAAGAGACTGGGACCTTACTGCGTAATATTCCTAAAGAAAGCAGTGGGTGCACTCATCTACTGTAGCCAACCTCTGTTGTGGAGAAGCCACAATAAGTTTTGCTGTCAACTTGAAAGCAGAGCTCAATTAAAAGATTTGCTGTGACAGATTCTGAATCTAAAACTACCCAGCAAGGTCAGTGTGATAGCTACTACACCGCAATATGTAAGCTTATCATTATAGTACTTCATGTAGCGAGAGATCTACTTAGCAGTTATCTTCTCTACCAGAAACATACTGCTATCCAAGCCTCTTTGCTCCACTGAATCCTAAACTATATCAGAGCAGGACTGGTGCAACCTCACATTATAGTAGGGCTGGTACAACCTCTATATCAGAGCAGGACTGACACAACCCCACATTAGAGCACGACTGGTATAACCTCTACATCGGAACAGGACTTGTACAATCTCTACATCAGAACAGGACTGATAAAACCCCACATAACAGCAACATCCACAACCAGTCAAAAACACAACGGTCAACATCATAATATACTTGATAAACATAAACTGTTACACATCAGGTAAAACTGTAGTAAATCTCACAATGTGTTCCTTAAGGAACAAATTTCCAATGTAAAATCCATTCAACGAGCACCCATTTGAACTAACAAACTCCCCACATTCTTCTTCTGGGTCACCCTTACAATAGCAGCTAGCACATGGTCTTGTGGTTTACCCAGCCATCTTTGTGCCTCTTGGCCTACCATATCCTAATTCAGCAAAAACCTTAAATAGTCATCTGTGACAACATGCAAGGGGTCTATCCTCCTCTCTAAACCCACATGAGCATTTCCCTATATTTTAGCCTAAAGAAAAGGCTGAACACATCACTCCCGCTATATCTTCTTTGCTGTCCCTACTACCTCAATCAACAACAAGTTAGGAGAAACTCTCAGAAAGGACAAGGTAATTGGGCGGACAACAACAAACATCCACAGCTGGAATTCCAAAAATATATCTTCTGTAAATCTTCTGTAAACTGGATATATTGCCCAAAGAGCACTCACAGAAATTACTGCAAGAATGAACTAGTTCACAGATCAGCTCTAGATATATGGATCAATTTCTTGTTAAAATACAACCTTTTTGCCAAGTTTAGCAGCTCCTTCTCACAATCAGTATCAAGCTATTATGTGACGACAGCTTTGAGGTTAGCAATCCCTGTGTGGGTTCTGTGGCACCATTGTGGGGGAACACAATAAGCATGTCATAACAGTCAACTAAGTGGGAGCTTCCTTTGAAATCCAAGTGCATCTGCAAAATATACAAAGAAACCAACAATCTGCAGAAAAAAAAGTCAGATCTGTAAAACGGATGTGCAGGTAAAAACTCAGGTTCTGAAACAAGACTGAAATCCGAAGGTGGACGACCGACCAACCAGAATTTTCTGCTGGAGTTTACAGCTGGTGAACGCAAAGAAGAAGATGAAGAGGTTAGCAAAACAGATTTCATAACCAACTCCTTGACATACGAGGCAAATGGTTTAGCAAAAGACAAGAATCCAGTCCCACTATTGAATATTTTTGAGTATATCATTAGGAGATATTCATAAACACAGCACTAGGTGCACCACAGCCCAGTTCCTTTCTGAAGATAGCACAGGACTGTGGGGATTTTCAGTCACATTCTCTTTCTGTTTGGGTTCCTGGGATTTATTTAGGATTTTTAAAAAAAAGGCTAGAGTCCCTAACAAGCATTTCATAAAAGGCTGACAAATTAAGGGTTTGATGAAATCGGATGTGTTGAGCCGAAAAGTGCAGCTATCGCAGAACAGCTGCAAACCATAACACAATGTGCCAACTACCATTTACAGGGTCTAGCATCATATGCCTGCTGTTAAACTGAGGGAGGGAAAAGTATCTATGACTTGCTATTTATTAAATTAGTTAATACCCAGTCTGCATAAAAATAAGCTTAAATCCGAAGTAGATGAACAACCAAAAGTTTACAGCAGATGAACGCTAAGAAGAGAAGTTAATAATGTGCTTAACTAAGATGACCGCACAAAAGGCGCTACGATTTCTTTGAGTTTTACAAGGTTTGTCTAACCCATTTGACCTTTCTACTTTCAGAAACTGAATATATTAACACCTGACATTCAGCACTACACACACAAAAAAACCACATAAATTCTTGATGAGTTTCAGTCACAGTCCAGGTCCAGCATGTGCCTATGAATGTCATAAAATCCCACTTTTACACCTTTTTTTTGCTGAGGCCTGCATGGATCTGATCTGTGTCAGTGCTATTTTATCACTGGATATTTGCTCAATAATGGAATAATGAATTATGCACATCAATTAATGATATCTGTATGTACAATTTACAGCAGACACAACTGAATGATTAAGACAGCATTCGCTCGGAACAATCATCAAATTCAGTCACATCATAAATGAAACTTGCACATTGTTAGATGCAACATCTCCTACGGAAACGACATTGTCTTGCTCCATACCAGAACCGAAGCACAAGAGAATCCAGTATCTTTAATTTCTGTCACAATTTCAAGCTACTTTATTAACTGTGTGCACACTGCACTCGCCAAAAACTTTAACACGCCACTTTATTAGCACACTGTACTCTTTAAGAACTTTAACAAGCCACTTTATTAGCACACTGTACTCTCCAAGAACTTTAACAAGCCACTTTATTACGCCACTTTTTAAAATTTAAAGTGTGCACATGGCACATTGTTTCAGCTTCAAGATACCACTTTATTAATTTAACTGTGTGCACGTTGGACTAAGCCGCTTTTGAAAACTAACTTCTAGCCTGCTAGAACTCAAGAAGACACTTTGAAAATGAGCCAATTATCACTAATAGAACTCAGCCGGCAATATTTTTTTCAAGCTGAAGCAGTTGCAACAGTACCAGAACTCACAAATGCAGTCAGTTATCATTATTATAAAAAACAAGGAATCAAACACCAAATTTTCTGGAGTTTCAAGAAGTCGACACAGGCAACATTTGCCTTGTTCTCCCTACTCTTTGGCACCATTCCTTTGTGATGAAGCTGCCTCTCAGTCAGAATGTCATTATCGTTTTTAAACTGTGAACAAGCTGTGTTTTATGGAAAACAGCATGAATTGTGTCATATCTTCAAAGGACCTGAGCTCTGTTCGCAGCACTGCATGATCTCCCAGAGGCAGTGAGACAGGGCAGTGGAAGCTTCTACAGCACTCATCATGTTGTAGCTGAGATCTTGTTCATGGCGTTTGACAAGCCTGTATGCGAGACAAAATATCATGATAAAACAATTTATATACAGGAAAGTAAAATATTATGTTAGTGTCTATACAACTACTTGGGCAGTAATGTAGACAAAGTTGTAGGAACTGAAAGATATTAAAATATGAACACAAAAGGCAAAATGAGTTTTTACAGCACTAGGGAATTTGTGGAGGTCAAAGGAAATTATAAGTACTGTTAAACCTAAAATTTTTAATTTTAATGTCAAATCAGTACTGTGATATGAAGCAGACACATGGAGAATAAACTACAAACATTCACTAACTGGTGCCTGCACAGAACAGACATAATTAAATAAATGGTATAATAAATAGAATCATTAATGTCTGGGAGAGAACAAATTCCAGTGAATCAAGAAGTGAAGAAAAGACACTGACAGTAGTAAACACAGTGAAGTGAGAAAATCTGAAAATAATATAATTTGTATGTCTTTACATTGGAACCCACAGGGACACCGAAACAAAGGCAGAGCTAGAGAGTGACGTTAGAAAGAAGGGGAGGACACAGGATAAGCAGCTTGTGATAGCAAAAGACCAGACAACTTGGCATGAGTTTGTTAAGGGCCGTTGCTCCACTGCGGCAGAAGAAGAACTATCTAGATAAAATAATTTCCACACAGGACAGTGGAATATTATGTTAGCATCACTGTCACGGAGTGAACAGCCAACCCCACACTGTGGACTATTCGTGACGTTGACACATCCCTAGCGGGCAGGTCACATTTCAAATTTAAACCCGTCCGAGGTGGTGGTGTTGGTGGTGGTGGTGGTGGGGGGGGGGGGGGGGGGGGGGGGGGGGTATATAGTCCCTCATATTGATATATACCTCTATCTGGTGGAATAAACATTTCTAGACCCTCTAGTTGTTTTGGGAAGTCTACATTTTCAAAGTTACAACTGTGGGATAAATAATTTCTGGATTATATTCCGAAATTCCTGAAAGCCTGTTTACTCCTTGGCCACGAATACAGGACTTCTTTTCTAGAGACGCCAAGCGGAATCTGGCGCGGGGATTCTTTGCCAGACCTCTGAAGTGTTGAGACACATTTCATTCTCTGATTAAACTTTGGCGCATTCAAAATACCAGTTTAATCTTTGAAGGATTCCTAAGCTTGGGATGATATCTCCTTGGAGGCCAGGCAGTGAATCAGCAGTCCACAAAACCACCTACCAGGAAGTCACCTATGTCTAAGCCAGTGGTGGGCATCAGAGTGTAAACCAAACTTTTGTCATCATTTAATGAAATCCTCCAGTTGGTCTACAGACAACATTATGGGTGTTGTACCTTCACTATCATTTATCCGGAAGCTTGTTTGTGCCTCAAGTGTTTGACTTGGTACCTGAGATCCTCTCCAGGAGCTTAGGTGTATCTCCAGTGTTCAAGTGTCTAGTGTGGGACTGTTTTCAACATAACAACAGAGTGACTGAACATCCAGCAAGTTCAAGGAACCAGGGATTCAGATAAATGTGGTCAATCAGTGGTTTATTGCCAGGCTTCACTGTTAATCGTCCACATTATCATATTGATGATCTAGGCGGACTTTGGAACATTCATTCACGTTCAGCTGGATCGAGTTTTAAGTTTTGGTACTTCATATCACTCTGGGTTCTTGAAGTTCTTTGCTGATTCTTATATAATGTATGTGTTGCACTTATTACAGTATTTCTAAGGTTTCACTATTGACTGGAGTGTCACTCATTCATTGTTCTTAGCTGTCTAAAGTACATGTATGTTCAATTAATAATCTTTATCTGTGTTAACATGGCTATGATAGTATACTATCATAGCCTGGGGGCTATCTTTTTCTAGTAGTGGGGGTGTCCAGCCTAGTGTGCCTAGGAATATTAGATATTCTGTAGTGCCAGAACTTGAGTTGCCCTACTCCTGAAAAAAGCTGAGCATATATTGGCCAAGGGATCTCCCTTAGACCAATACGAGCCGACGCCTCAACATTATTATTTCAGAGTGCTGTTGGTTCTTAAGGAAAAATCCTTAAATCAGGAACGCGACATGAGCAGCATGTGACAATCGCGAGCAAGGACAACTTTAAATAGATTAACACAAGGTGTGTGTGCGCGCGCGCATATTTTTTAAAGTGCACAATAATAGTAATAATGTGTAAAGTATATCTAAAATAACAAAGCCCCAGCAAAAAAAAAGTTTTTGAAAGAGGAGGGGGGCCAGAACAGCCACACCCCCCCCCCCCACAAGTGCCCCTAGGACAGGAACATATTCTGTCAGTTTGTTGGTTGCATGTCTTTTACAGGAAATTGCAAAACCAAATCCACTGCTCTCTGAACAGTCAGCTCTTGATACCAGTGTTTGCTCCAAGGACAAAGATTAAGCTGCAAGTTACAGATTCTGTCATTCCATTTGATCTTTGCAGAAATGAATACTTCCTGACAACACTTTTCTGCACAAATCAATAACAATAGCATACAGGCTCACTCTTTGTGCTTATATAAGTGTGTAGGCTTCAGATATGGTAACAAATTTCTAGAATGAAACAATACAGAAATAAAGAAAAAACACTTTAAAAAAAAGTTTTGATCCTCTAACAGTGCATGATTTCATTTTCAACTATGTCAGGTTGTCTAATAAAAACACACAACTATTCAAAGGCAAACAGGCATGTATACCTGCGGCCCACAGATGAGAAGTGGCATATGTTTCTCAAAATCAGCGCAGCAGTCAAGCGGATGTGCTTTGACACAGGTCCCTCTCTTTGTTCCTGTGCATTAACAAAATAAATGAATGAATTTAACACACAAATTTATATATATATAAACAGTTATGAGGAATGACATACATATTGGCTATAAGGAGAAAAGGACAGAGAATCACTAACCAGGTGCTGAAATGGGGAAACACACAAGACTGAGAATGTCCAAGAGAAACTACAAAACAAACTTTGACGAGAGAGGCACTGGCTGGACTGGATTCCTTCCATGATACTGACAAGAAAGAACGGAATGAAAGACCAGACTGCCAGCTCCATGCGGCATATAATGGCACAAGAGAAAGATTAGGATATATATACTTGTCGTGAAAAGTGCTCACATTTTTTAACTGGTGCTGGCTCAGAAAATAAGTAACGAAATGCTATGACAAGGATATTAATCGGAAGCTTTATGAGAGAACTAAACATTTTTCAATAAAAACAAGAGGGGACAAAAAAATATTGGCGCCGAACAGAACAATTAATCAATCAGGTGCCGTCTCCACAAGGAAGGTTGACCACAAAGTTCCAACACAATCTGTCTTTGTCTTGGCTGTACACTCTCTCAGACTGCTGTTTGTCAATCTCTTGATGTCTTCCCATTTGTATCATTGTCTATCTTTTGCTCGCGACTTTCCTTCCAGTATGGTATTTTAAGAGTTATGTCTTTTAATGTGGTCGAAACATTTCGCTTCTCTCCTTATCATTTCTTTTAGCTACTATCTCGTTACTCCTAGTCTCTTTACAACCTCTGGATTTGAATTTTTTCCTCTCTATATGAAATATGATCTATTCTGCATACATACATCTCCAGACAGAGTTCAAGCCCTCCAAGGGACGGCTGCTTATTGTATGTATGTATGTATGTATGTATGTATGTATATGAGGAGTGCTCGAGCAGATATGTGTGCATGAATGTGGGGAGTGCGTGAATGGATAGGTGTGGGTGTGCACATGCATTTTACCATCCATGCTTTTGTTTTTTCCTTATATTCATATTATACATACTGTTATACAAACATAAAATGCTGTAATGGTAAAATACAACTGCTGTGTGAAAGACAGGAGTTGATAAGAGCTGACTGTAAGCCTTCATGCCCAATTTGTGACCCTCTGAAAATAAAGTCTGTTCATTTAAGACTGATTCTTTTTAGTTATTTGTTCACTGTCCTATTTCCTCATTATTCAGTAGGTTTAAAAATACATAACATTTGACAATTCTAATTTTCAATGTGCTGATAGTCAAAGATAAATACAACACACAAGGAAGCTAAGAAATACGCAACACAAGGAACATACAGCAAACTCAGCATAAGGCTGCTTGATAGAAAACCTCCGTATGGCTTGCATCGCTGCATCAGGCGGGTAAATCATCGGCTGATGAGGGGCGGGTGTCGATACATTCGACTGCTGCTGGGCGGATGCTAACCTTCGCTGGAATGCTGCACGCATTGCAGGTTCAGAACAGTGGTGATCCTGTAAAAAGAGGAAATGTACACTGAACTACTTACCTAATACAAATCAATTATCATCAGTATGTATACTTTATGTATCAAGTAAAGGTCCCATTTATTAGGTGTACTGGGTATATAAGGTGACGAATTAGGGGTTTAAATAAATGGATGGAGAATATAAGTCAGTCAAAAGCAACTCGTGACCCAAAAACTGTTATGTTACTATGATAATGATGAAGCAACAGAAATGTAATATTTGAGAAAAATGGTAAAGTACAGAGTTTCAAGTATTTCAAGATCACTTGACACCAAAAGAGTGGCTAAGTGTTCACCTTCTAGTCTGAAGCTTTTGGGTATGAATTCACATCAAATCAGATGTTTTAAAAATGTCCTCAACTCCAAGGTTGACCCTACCTAAAATGGGTATCCTGTAAAATCCTGGAAAGCAAACAAGGCAGGCGAGACAACAACATCACCCATCAAATGCTGACTGATCTACACATGCATGAGTCTAGCACCACATGCATCACTGACAAGAAAAGGATCATTTACTTGACTTTACAAAACCACAAGGAAATGGTAAATGCAATATCTGATATGAAAAGGATCTTTTTACTTACTTGACTTTACAAAACCACAAGGAAATGGTAAATGCAATATCTGATATGAAAAAGATTTTTTACTTGCTTGACTTCACAAAACCACAAGGAAATGGTAAATGCAATATCTGATATGAAAAGGATCTTTTACTTGCATGACTTTACAAAACCTCAAGGAAATGGTAAATGCAATATCTGATATGAAAAGGATTTTTTACTTGCTTGACTTTACAAAACCACAAGGAAATGGTAAATGCAATATCTGATATGAAAAGGATCTTTTATTTGACTTTACAAAACCACAAGGAAAAGGCAAATGCAATATCTGATTTAGTTTATTAATGGAAAAGCTGGAATAGAGAAATCTACTGTACATTGGGAACTAGAAGCTCGGCAAAAAAGGCACAGGAAGACATGAGACAGCAGCTGTATGGAAATAAAATGCTGGTTGCTGGTATGATACCAACATCATGTAACTTTCTAGCACTGAATGCAATTGCTGAACTACCTCATGGTAATAATGCTGCAATGTATGCTGATGACTTAGTACTATGGTGCACAAATAAATATGCAACAGTGGCCACTAAGTGCTACAAAGATTCATCGATGCAATGGCTGATAAATGGTGTGTCACCATCAACATAGATAAGTGTAGCACCATCCTCTTCACCCTCTCTAAATTGAAAAACAGGCATCGTTCAAATAAATGGAACACCACTAATAGAGTTTAAGGAGTCACATTTGATGTTAGGTTAACATGCAGAAAATGCACCAACCAGGTAGCAACCAAAGCCAAGAGGAGGGTAGCTATCCTGAGAAAACTAAGTGGGGCAACATGGGGCAATAGTGGGGAAAATACTTGGAGAAGTTTATCAACAAAGTGTACAACCACATCTTGAACACGGGTCAACTGCATAGAGTTCAGCACAAAACACCACATTACAAAAGTTAGACAAGGTGCAAAATCAAGGCAGGAAGAAATCAACAGCTTTAGCTGTGAGGAAGAAGAAGGCGATGACCCAAACACTGACAGAACATAGAGACACCAAGATACTAATACAACCAGAAAAATTAGCAAGCTTGAACACACTGTGAAAGAAATTTTCCAAAATATAGCAATGGGGCGACCAAAAGGAAGCATTTTCATCCACCAGGCTTAACTCTCTGCAGTCACACTAATAATCTGCCTGCAACTGATAGCCCCTTAAACGCTTATTCCAGATCAGACACTCTGGAGAGAAGATTATAAGTGCCAATACATGCCCAGACAGAAGCAAAAGGAGTATTTGACAAGAGAGAACAAAACAGTGTGCAATGTAAAACAGCCTCCCTATCTCATCATGAAACAGGTCCTTTGCAGAACGTCGCTCTCATCACAGCCTGCCTGAAAGAAACTCGGTCTCTCGCCAATTCTCCCGCCTCATGCGCTTTCACATTCAAGGAGTCACTTATATCCTGTGCCCATCTTCGTGTCGGTCAGCCCCTGCCCCTCCTGCTTTAATTTTTTCCAATCCGTCGTGGCGCTTGATATGACCAAAATATCTACTTTATGATAAATACCCACAGGATCTTTGGGTTCGTGTCTACACAGATGGGTCAGCACACACACACCCCCACAAACTAGCAAAAATGAAGGGGCAGCAGTGTATGTACACTGAGTATCTAAATAATACCAGACATACAGCCAAAATACTAACAGAAAAGCACTGTTACAAGTATGATGCAGAAGTTGAAGCAATCAAGATAGCAGCAGAGAAACTGCTAAACGTATGTCCTATTTCACAACCCGTGATTTTCCTGATAGATGCAAGAATGGTAACTCAGGCGTTCTAATCTAGAAAATTACCTGGCATACAGACACTATTCTCCACACAGGGCAAAAGGTAGCAATGCAATGGATCCAATCCCATTGTGTAGTTCCCAAAAATGAGAGAGCTGATAAACTAGATAAGAAAGGTGCAAATGAATAACAACCAGATGTACCGGTCTCAACAGAAGAACAGAATAATCACATCAATCAGAAAGCCACAAAACTGGCACAAGATGATTACCATATTATGGACAGACTAGAGCCACATGTAAAAAAAAAAATTCAGACTGGTGAATCAGCCATGTGCACATGTGAATTGGTACCTGAGACAGCAGATCACATCCTTCAAGACCATCCCAAATATAACAAATCAAGGTAAAACTTCTGGCCCAAAGAAACCCTGGGTGAAGCCAAAACTTTAGGGCTACTGGGGGAATTACAACAGTGAAGTTCATACCAGATACAACACTGCAGATACAGATATTATATTTTAAGTGAACAAAACAAAAAAAAAAGAATGCTGGAGTTGGCAAATTACGACCCTTGAGGCTGGTGTAAAACTATATCGTATATAATCTGGTTCTAATAAAACAGCAAAACACAAAAATTGTTGTTTCTTCTTCTGAGCTTATCTTTTAAAAGTGGATTACAGTTAGGCTGCAGTTTCTGGACTTTTGAGCTCTTACAACATGATTGTTAGGGGAGTAGTGGTTCCACCCCCCCCCCCCCCCCCCTTCCATGAGGACTCCAAACCCACATGGGGAGCAGCACTGAAAAAAGATGCAACTGTAGAAATAAAAACAATACAACAATGGTCAGAAAAGTACAATGGTAACGGAGACGCTATTTTGCTTTTCTGAAGGTAAAAGACCCATTAAAACACCACAACCAACAACAAATGACAAGAGCACATTTACACACCTGCATGTGAGAAACTAACGACCACCTCTTGCGAACCAGCTTCTCACATGAAGTCCACTGACATGAGGACTCCGTTGTCTTTGGAAGGTGCTGCTTGAAAACATGTAGAAACACAAGGCGTGCACTGGAAAAACACCTGAGGATGCCAATACCATCATAAATAAAACATGCAAGGCAAAAGAAATTGAGCTTTAGCTGTGTTCCTAATCTCGGCCAAGCCAAAATTTTCAATCTAGCTTGATCTGACGTTTTTCAAGGAACTCTTCCTGATAGTAGCCTCTTGACCTCTCTTATCTTTCTGGGTCACTTCATGTCTATTGTCCATCAAGACAAAAGCTGGTTACAAGTTCTTCTGTACATAGAGGAGCATGTATTGTAGTGCTATGCTGAAGTAGGATGACACCAATCGAGACTACAGCTTCAACCAGTGTATGTTTTGATTGTGGCGCCCAGTGTCAGGAGAGACAAATCTTGTCAGCAGGAGACTGCAACTGTCCAGAGCAGAGGTTCCCCAGGTAGATTAAAAACTGAATGAAATGAAAGACTTTAAATAGCCCTTGAGACCCAAGAAGCAACAAAACTGACACTTCGGGTTGGTACCCTTCCTTGTAAGAGCCACTTTCCAGACTCACCAGAGAGACATGTTTACAAGATTCCAGCCAACAGAATTCATCACATCTGTGACTGTTCAAATGTTCAGTGTGATGACAGTGGATGACTAAACTTGCTAAAACAAAAAGCATTTAGGGTGTTTTTCAGCAATTCTCCCCACTGGCTACATTTGTTACCAGACAACCGGGTCCAGAAAGTATCACATTATAATTAGCTTACATGCCCCCCAAGAGATATAAGCCAGTTGATTCTATGCTGCATTTGTTTGTACTGATTTTACTCTCTATAGCATTTATTTGCGTTTTGAAAGATAAATTGATTCTTGTATTACATATATAAAATATTTGTTTTTCTGAGAATTTTTCCCAAGGAAATGTAATATTAGAAAGTATGGAAGCTTGGGTTTGTGTTTTCCCCCTAGGTAACTGGGGTTAAAGGGTTAAATGAGCCCTGAATGTGTCAGAATGAACAAAATAAAAGCACCCAGCTTAAACTCAGTGTAATAAGAGGTACTCACAAATCTGATAAATAAATCAAGCAAAAAAAACCAGTTTTAGTTGCATTTACACTTGATTAACCCAGGGAGGAACTGATACACTTGATTAACCCAGGGAGGAACTGATACACTTGATTAACCCAGGGAGGAACTGATTTTTTGATTAACCCAGGGAGGAATTGATACACTTGATTAATCCAACTGCCAGATCAGATACTGTTATTTCTGATGGAGATGATCTTCAATGCTATGTCAAACTATCAATATCTCAAATGGTTTTCCCCCTTTGACAGCACTGATAGGGAATCTCTCTGGAAATTAATCTGGCACTATGGAATCCCAAGAAATTATTAACTTGGCAAATGTAACATATTAAAAGACATGAAATGTCGAGTTCTTCATGAAGGAAAGCTACTGGATACATCTGAAATAAGAACAGGTGTGCGACAGGGATGCCTCTTGTCACCTCTCCTATTTTTTACTGGAAATAGACTGGATTATGAAAACAGCAACTGCTAATACCAGCATGATGATATTTCTCTTCTGTTCTATTCACAGAATTCGATGCAAGATAAATACATTTTATGCAAGATCACAACAGCTACGTCTAAAAAATCATAAGGAAAAGGCATAGTGTGAATGGATGGCCATATGTACCCAAAACAAACGGTTGAGTTATTATTCAGCACGGAAAAAATGTATCATTAAACAAAAATATTGTGATGTCATCCTTATATTATAATAATCTCACAATGGATAAGTTAACAAAACATCTTCATTCATGGTCAAAGGGAAGGAAAGTAGCTAATTCTATATTCCCTTTAAATGTAGTGATCCATAAAAAAATTAATTTATGATTTTTCTCCTACTTTTTCTTCATCACGTTCACCAGCAGTAAACTATAGCAAAAAAAGTTTGGGTTTGTTCATCCACTTTTGCACTTTAGGCTTGTTCTAGAAATTGAGCTTTACGTGCACATTATTTTACAGAGCTGGTTTATCTGTAAGCAGACTGTTAGTTCCCCTTTTCTCAGACAGATGCACTCCAAAAGGGGAAAACCAGTAACTAGTCGGCTTTTACCACATGCTTTTTAGGGAAGTAGTGGGACCCCCCCCACCCCCCCCCCCCCCCCCCCCCCCCCCCCCCCCCCCCCCCCCCCCACACACACACACAGGGAAGTTGATGACTTGACGGTCGCAATGTACCTGTGGACTTGACGCTTGCCTGCTGACTTTGTAGTTTAGGGGTTCAGCCCCATGGTCCCAAGATTCAAAATTTCTCCTGCTTATTTTTCTCCACCTCTAGTTTCTCAAGGCAGTTTCGCAGAATTATGGGGATGTATTTCTTTTCAATGGTATATTGAAAAAGGTAAAAAAAAAAATTAAGTCTTTTATAGGGCTAAATTGTTGAGAATCAACATCCGAGCACTCAGGGACACACAAATGTTGATGCCGATCGTACCAGTAGCAGTGTGATTACACGCCAGTTTCTTGCTTTTCCTCTTAGTGTAGAGTGTCAGATCTGCTGCACCTTTCTCTCCAAACTGCAATGATTTATTCACATTTCTGCATTGTTCACCAGCTCCCAAAGGGTCTTGCTACTTCTAGCTTGTCATGAATCACTTCACCACAAAGTGTTACAGCCGCAATAACACATGAGTAAGTCAACCACAAGAGAGACCAAAGATGCTGGACTGGATTTTAGCCATGCTGGAAAAAGTGCACAGGAAAGAAAGGATTGATGAAAAGATACATCTGACATATAAACAATATCCTGGACAGCCACAAAGAGCAGGTTATCAAGTAATCACAGTTCCAACTTCACAGAAAATGAGTCACCCCATAGTTGCTCCATTCTTACGCCAATAAAAACCACACAGAATGCCCATCACTGTCCCTTGTAAAATCACTGACACAGGCTGCAGTCTTCATAAACTGAATAGCTTCTACAGGCATTAAATGCACAAGGCAGCAGTCAAAAGTGCCAACACAAACAGTCCGACATTAAAAACCCAGATTGTGTTTAAAAAGGTGAGGCATCAAAGCCAGCTTATCATAGTTAGCAGTAAGAGATAAACATCATTTTTTGGTGATGTTAAAAGAAGGAAACTGGAACATATGACCACAGTAAAGAAAGATCTGTGGAAAAAAAGATAATGAGGAAGACAATGTGAGAAGATTCTTGACAGCCTTTTGTCATGGCATGAAAGGGTATCAGCGCACAAAACGATACATACTGTTCTTCTTCTTCGCGTTCACCAGCTGTAAACTTGTAAACTCCGGCAGAAAGTTCTGGGTGTTCCCCCACCTTCAGACTATAGTCTTGACATCTCTCGCTTTGTAGGATGCCCCCAATTAGTCAACCCCTAGAGCATGCTTATTGGGGAGTGTGTGTGTCTATTTATGTTTTCCTCAAAATAAGGTCCTGAAACCCATTCATGGAAAACATGCTGTTGAAGATTACAGATTCTGCAGAGACATGATCACCTATGCCAGTGGACAAGGCACTTGATGATGATAATGATGATATATAATGGCAAACATGATGACGATGACACAACTGAACAATAAAATGGTCTTACCTTCTGCAGTTGGTCCATTCACACATGTACTCCATCTGTATTGTTTTCTGAACATAGTTTTGTGGCACTGCTTGAACATTGATGCCTACATCCTCATTTGAGCCCTTTTTTCTGCTGCGAGCTTTGGGTTGCAGTTTATCTGTAAGTGGCGTAGTCTCCATCTTCTTCGGCCGTATCTTCGTTTTTGAGGTAGCTGGAGTGACATTTAGTGTCTGTGTAGCCTGGCCGTTTTTTACGGCAGGCTTGTCCGAGTCTGTCACCGAAGTCATACTATCACTACTAATATCACTATCGCCAGAAAGGTCTCTGCTTAGCACTGGACGGTTTAATGTACTGCCCACCTGGACGCCAGGTGGCTGACAAGGCAGCGTGGATATTCGTGGACGTGGCTGGGCTGACTGCTGGATGTTCCTGGATTGCAGTTGGATATTAGATAACTGCTGGGTGTTTGGAGTTCCTGGCAGTGGGTGTCTCTGTATCTGCAGCCGCTGACCTTGTGGGAACTGTGTGTGTATTTGCACTTGTGCGTGCTGCTGCTGCTGTTGTATGACCTGCTGATGAGGTTGTATATGCAGTTGCTGTGCTGGCTGCTGAGACAAAGTTAGATGCTGCTGTTGCAAATGCAGGTGCAGCTGCTGCGGCTGAAACTGCAACTGCTGCTGCTGTACAAAGCCCACAACTTTCTGGTTGAGGCCGGCGGTCATCTGCTGCCCTGTGCCGCTGACCACCTGCTGTTGGACCAGCTGACTAGGGTGAGCCTGTATTTGAATAATACCACCACCATTAACACCTGGACTGGCTCCCCCTTGTGCGGTTGGAATGTTCACCCTGTGCCCTACTGAATTTGCTCCCGACACAACACTGGATACACAACCATTAACAATGACTCCTTGTGACTCAGCATTTATTCCATGGGAGAGCACTCTTATACTTTGAGATTCCGACTGGCCAGGTTTAAAAAGGTCCATCATATTGTTATCAACCGAATGAACATACCCATTTATCTTGATTTTCTCATTTACTTTCTCAATATCTTGTTTCTTCACTAGCGAGTCTCTGTCTATTTCTATCAACTTCCCATTGAGAACATCCTTGTCTGAAACCAATCCAGTCGAAAGAGGGGAAGGGGGGAAGTCACTGCCTACAGACTCGGGAGAGCCTAGAATGCCGTTAACATCATGGTTCAAGCCATTACACTGGTTGGACAATAACGACTGTTGCTGTTGTGCGTCCATCACAACCAAAGGGGAGATATTTAGGGTCTGGTTAATCATTTGTTGCTGGC